TGAAGTTTGGAAGAGAAATATTAAAAATTTGTTTTGAAAGATTAGAAGTTTTGGCTGGACGTGGTGGCACACACCTGTAATCCCATCGCTTTGGGATGCTGAGGCAGGAGAACTGCAAGCCTAGGTGATTTAGCAGTTTAGCGACAATCTGTCTCAAAATATAAAACATAAAAAGGATTTGGGATGTAGCTCGTGTGAAGGCCCTGGGGTTAAGTCTCCAGTACCAAAAGGAAAACAAAACAAAACAAAAGAAAAATTAGAAGTTGTATATTGAAGTATAACACACAATTAAGCCAGTATCTGCCTATCATCTACCTATTATCTATCTCTCTATCTTATCTGTCACCCATATGATTGCCCGCTATCGTGTATAGAGACAGTGGACAGAATAACAAGGGCATACGTGCAAGGCGTAATTGTTAGAGATCACCAGGTCTGAGAATCAAGCTGACTTGTGCTACTTACACCTTGAGGAGGCTGCCAAGTAAGCTGCTGTGCCAACTGCCCTTCCTGGGTGTTCAAATGGAGACAACCCTGAGGAGCGAGGCAGCTCTGAGCTGGTGTCAGGCTGAGACGCTTCCTTGGTTCTCACCACCCTCTCCCAATCTTCCTTTCTTGTTTCTTGCCCCTGACCTCCCTCCTTTTCTGAGTATGTTTTTGCACTTACTGCAGAAATAATACTTAGTCTTTGCAGAAATATTCAGAGAGTGTATAAAATATTAAAGAGGCAGAGAAAATACACAGTTCTATCCCCTTGAAGCAACCTCCAAACTTTGACCTATTCCCTTCCTAGTGTTGTTGTTGCTGCTGTTTTTAACTATGTGTCGTCAGTCAAGAGTTTACTGCTTATGAAATTTTGGTATCCTGCCATTTTTATTTCTGTTTGCAGCATTGTAGAAGCTCGTTGATCTCCGGGCATGGATTTCAGGACCTCCCTGACCCCTCATATTCGCTAACGCTTGTCTAGAGTACAATCTCCCTGTGAAAGCTGCTCTCCCTCATTTTGCTTTCCTACCTTTTCTTTAGCAGTGGCCTCTCCGTTCTGGGTAACTTCCCACCACTGCCCAAGAATTGGGACATGTTTTATAATTGTACTGCACTGTGGTCCACTGATTGAGCTCGGTCACTAACTATGGCCCCGGATCCTGCAACGCAGGCCTGTACTACTTGAAATTCAAATTCGCATGACACATGTCTTGGACTGTCAGGGTCACTAGTGAGTAGTTCAAACCTCAGATATTCAACAGCAATGATGGGGTGGGGGTGTCACGGTAGAAAGCCATGCATAAGGGCCAAGGGTTCCTGATCTCCACGTTAAGGAGGAAGAGGAACGGTGTAAGATCATCTAACGAGCCTCTTGGCCTTCCTCCAGGTGAAGCTTGGAGAGCTGGAGCCTTTTAGAATCACCTCATTTAGTTTCATGACTGTCATCTGCCACAATAGCCTGTGCCTTCCCGCACACACCTGTAATCTTATCACTTGGGAACCTGAGGCTGAGGCTCCAGAGTTGAAGACTGGCCTGGACTACTTAGTGAGTCCACCCCCAATGCCCTGCTTAAGCCTTTATTCTCCAAATGGTTGAAAGGGATTTGGGTGGGTGTATCAGCAATTCAACCCATGAGCTGCACACCCACCAGAATCTCTTGTCAGGACCTAGCCGAGGTCGCCTATCAAAGGGCCATTGGAAAAATGCAAATGTTGGCCTCTCTCCTCCTCTCTTGAGCTTATCTTTAGTGGAATCAAAATTCTCCACTTCAATCCCTGGAGCCCATGACTGCAGGCCATGGCCTCCTTTTCTGTACTCTGAAACCATTATCCTGCCGGGCAATCCCCATTTTTCTGATTTGGTGATTTGGGGGAGCTGATAGCGTCCTCCATGGAGTAGAGCCTATTGTCCCAAGACTTTTGGAACCCATATTAAGTAACTTCCAGGTGGCTCGTTAGTGGTAGCTTACATATTGCTAGCCAGAGAATGATGAAAAGGTGGTTTTAGGAAAAAGAACAAAGTTCCTTGACTCAGTACACTGGTGGGGCTGATTTGGGCTTGGGTTTCAGCTGACCCAGTACTGCAGAAAGGGCTGCGGCCCTCTGGGCTCTTCCTGTGATGATGTGCTCACTAGTCAAAGGGATGGAGAGGCTTCCATGGTTCAGCAAAGAGATTCTAGGGGAGACCTGGCTTGGCTAGACCCTGCCACAGTCGAGGGCCAGTCACCAACCCCCCCGCCTCAGAGTTTTGCATTGGCTCCCTACTTTTTCCAGGATAAAGCTCACATTTTTAGATACCAATAGTTGGGTCCTCCACTGATCTCCCATAACTTCTGGTTTTATTCTCTTTGTTTCCTCCAGCCACTCCTTGAGGGTGTCTGTGTACCTCCACCTTGTTCCAGTCCTTGTTCTCCTACTTTCTGTCTGGGTTCTGAAACTATTTATTTTTGGAATTCCTGCTTTAAATAAAACAAGAGTATGGTACCAATACTGAATGGATAATTAAACTACATGTTTGTGCAAAGTCTTCTAAAGCATGATTAAAACAAATCAGGATGCCACTCAGAGAATGGGATGCTGAGAGGGGACGTCTGGGCTGGAAGGCGGTGAGGGATGGGACGGGCATGGGAGAGACAGAGATGAAGCAGGGGCCATGTCCAGATTTTCATTTTGTAATTAGGTGTGTGGAGTTGTCATTTACTGACAAAGGGAAATGATGAGGAGACTAAGCTGGGAGGGACCTTGATCTCTAGCTTGGTTGTGAGACAGTTTCGATCTGACGTTCTTATTAGGCATCTTCTACAGGTTGAGTTGTACCGCCCTAAAAGATATGCAGAAGTGCAAACCCCTCTTCATTCAGGATAGGATCATTTGGAAATAGACCCTTGAAGAGGTAATTAGCCAAGATGAGGTCTTACCTAATTTTGCAGCTGTCATGTATTCCTACTCACCATCATCAGGAATATTTCAACATGAAGGCTTCAGCACTTGGGATCTCAGAGGCCAGCATCAGCGGCAGGTGTCATCTGGATCTCTGCCCAACATACACAAATGGGTGGTTGGTCTGGTTCTGCTCTTCCTCAAAATCCCTGTCCCCTCTCTCCCTCTCCCTCCCACCCGCTTCTTGGACTCCAAAAGATCTATCCCAGAGCCATCCCTTAGCAATAACACCAGCCCTTAACCTTAGGTAGACACAGTGGATCCAGGGCTGGAAAGTCGGGAGATGAGCCCTAGCTCTGTCTTGCCTTAGGCTCCAGTTCCCTCATCTGTGTGAGCAGCGGGGTGGGGCTTGGAGACCTTGGCACTGCCTCCATTTCCCGGTCTGTGTTTTAACTTACTCCAACCAGGGGAAATGTTCTGGCACCTTCTTTCCCCACTGCCCTCCAGCTTCCAGGACTTTCTGAGGCTGAAGAGCATCAAGGGCAACCACTTGACAGTTACAGGAACGTCAGCATGCCACCTGAGTGGGCTTGACGGTGAGTGTCTGGGAACTGGGGAGGAGCCTGGGGGGTAGGGGGGTGGGAAACAAGGCTACAGGGGCCCTAAAAAGCTCATATTCCCCTTCTTCTATTGTTATTTAAAGCATAAACACTAAGTGACAAAATAGATATCAGGGATCCAACATAGTTGTGAATTTTCTTTACTCTTTTGGAAATACAAAACAACATTTTCTTCTAAACCCTCTTGCTCTTGGGGCCGGGGCACTGCCCTGGGCTTGGCTGGGATTGTTCTCACAGCTCTGCCATCCTCAGCAGCTGGGGAGGGTGACTGTTCCTTGACTGTGGGAGCCATCATACTCTCCTGGTCACCACATCTGCATCTGCCCAGAGGCAGTCACTTCTCTCCCAGTCCCAGGGCTTTCACATGCCAACGGGGAGTTTGGAATAAAGGTTTTCTAAAGACTCCTTGTGGAGCTGACATCTTATTACTTTGCTTCATTTTGCTTTTATTTTTGAGCTTTTTGCTTTGTTTTGTTTTTTTAGTCAGGATCTTGCTATATACTTCAGGCTGGCCTTGAACTCACTACATATATATATAT